AGTTCATAAATGAGTGGCACATGTCACATATTTAAATTCTTTCAGGATCTCAGAATCATAGAACCTCGGCCTTCTCCATCAAGTCCTGCTCCCTTATTTCACAATTGGAGAAACATGTCCAATGAGACTAAATGGCCTGTCTAATGTTACATAGCTTGTCATCCCCAAAGCTGGAACAGGAACTCCTATCATTTCATTACTTCAATATTTTTTATAACTACCTATCTTACCTTCTGTTAAAAGAATGTAGCAATATACAGTAGATATTCAGACTGTTTTCATAGGGAAATTACTCTTTCGGTTTTTATTTCTTTTCTTTGTAATAGACTTATGCAATGCAATGCCTTCCCCTCATCTCATGGGAGGATTTGAACTTCCCTGCCCTCAAGGGCCCAAAACCTGATTAGGAGTTGCTGTTGATTCTTGCCTTGGATTTTAAAAGTCTCAAAATTTGTTACAGAAGAAAAAATTAATAGGTTCTAGAGTACGGAGACAAATATGAAGATTGCAGGAGGAATTCCTGAGACTCATAGGCACTGAGTGGAAGTTGAATAAGAAGTGTTTCCAGAGGGTAACTTAGGAATTTGAGAACTGGTCATGAGAGGTGCTCAAATGGAAGACAACCCATTTTCCAGAAAAGAGGAGACAAATGGCAACACAAAGAACATTGTTCTGGTGTCCAAGCATAAACACCGACCCTGTAGCCTGAACCCAAGGGAGGAGAGTTCACTGTCCTCCTCTAGGGCCTACACACTGCTTTGGTGTGTATCATGTTGACTGTTAATAATCCAGCAGAGTAATCACTATCCATTCTCCAAGGCTGCATTTGGTCTGTGTTTGAGGAGCTCATGTATTCCCCTACCCCTGATGCCAATGCCATCTCAGTCCATCTCACAATGCCCCAGGTGACCCATCTGCTCTAAAAACAGAATGAGACCATGCACATCTAGTAGTAAGGTGAAGTAGAGGAACGACCCACATCTGTATCTAGAAAGACTGGACTGAAAAAGATTAAGGCCCTCAGAACTGAAGCAATGGTTATACTAAAATTTATAATCTCATTTTTAAAAAGTATAGTTTTGCTGTTTTGTAAGAATTCAAGACCTTTAAGTTTTTTTCTAGTTTTTCTTTCATGAATGGACAGGGGGAATGTATAAAAGAAATCGTTTTGTTAATCTATGAAAAAATGTTAAATTACCTAAAGCTGAAGCATTTTGTGCAATGTGCATATATTGTTTATATATATATGTGTTTATCTCTCTGTCTCTGAATGATGCAACAGATGAAAACTAACCAATAGAGAGGATATGGCTTGATGCTTAAGAATGAGCCAAACAACAAATGGGTAACTGTATACTGTCTGCATGACTAATGCAACTTCATTTAACTGTTATCATTTGAAAACCCCAAGTATACTAATCTTGTTCATTGTTTTTGTTCTTTTTTGAGACAGAGTCTTGCTCTGTCACCCAGGCTGGAGTTCAGTGGTGAGATCTTGGCTCACGGCAACCTCTGCCTCAGGGTTCAATCAATTTTTGTGTCTCAGCTGCCCGAGTAGCTGGGATTACAGGCATGCGCCACAATGTCTGGCTACTTTTTTTTGTATTTTTAGTATAGACGGGTTTTCGCCATGTTGGCCAGGCTGGTCTCAAACTCCTGGCCTGAAGTGAACCGCCTGCCTTGGCCTCCCAAAGTGCTGGGATTACAGTGAGTCACTGCATCCAGGCAAAATATACCAGTCTTAACGGCTGAACTTTCAATTGTTTCTCTGTTTTGAAAACCAATTGTGGCCCAAAGCATTTCTCAAAACACTGAAGAACAGTAAACTAAACTCCAACTTTGCCATTTATATCGTTAGATCCTAATAGATATTGAAACCCTGCAAAATAGGAGACTTTTTTCTATTTCTTGCTTTTTTTTTTTTTTTTTTTTTTGAGACAAGAGTATTGCTCTGTCACCCAGGCTAGAGTGCAGTGGCGCGATCTTGGCTCACTGCAAGCTCCGCTTCCTGGGTTCACACCATTCTCCTGCCTCAGTCTCCTGAGTAGCTGGGACTACAGGCACCTGCCACCATGCCCGGCTTATTTTTTTGTATTTTTTTAGTGGAGACGGGGTTTCACCATGTTAGCCAGGATGGTCTCGATCTCCTGACCTCGTGATCTGCTCGCCTCGGCCTCCCAAAGTGTTGGGATTATAGGCGTGAGCCACCGCGCCCCAGCCTACTTGCTTTTTTAAGTTTAGAACTGAAATTACCAAAAGGAGGGGCATATAGGTTGGCAGAAAGCAAATGAGTAGCAACAAAAAATAATTAGGAGCTATACAAAGAGTAAAAGAACGCATGAATAGGAATCTTCCAGTGACAATATACCCCACCTTCAATAGGGCAAAAGATCCACCACAAAAGAAGCGAATAGTCATCCTGAAACTTAATTACATTTCAAAGTAGTATAGTAACATGAAAGGAACAAAACATTTTTGTTCAACAGTTTGCCTACCAGATGGGATCTCTAAATATAGTAATCTAAAACCTTCGCTTGTCCTATACACAAATAAAGATGAAAGGAATAGCAACAATAGCTAAGCATTTGAATCACTTGAAATAAAATAGCACTTGAGTTAAGTTTGGAAGAATCTGGCTCATTCTAATAATGAATCTGGGAAGGCTGGAGTTCTCAGTGAAATTCAGAATACAGAAGGTTGCTTCTGATATCTACCTGTTTAAACTGGTAGAATAGTTGGAAGAACAAATCAGGAACTAATAGCAGGAGACTTGCGGAAAACTAAAGAAAAACAGGAACACCTAATAGAGATTCTAAAGGCCCACAGTACAAATTCCAGACTTTTGTTTTTGAAATAAGAGTTGGGACATGCCCTTGCTTTATTTCTGTGCACTCATGTGTAAATGTGGGTAATAGTTAAGAACCTATGCTCTGGAGGCAAGTCCAGCATGTGAATCCAGGTTCTACAATTGACTGGCACTATGACTTTTAGCCAGGTTTCTTACCTCTTTGAGCCTCGTCGACAAAAGCAGATAGTGATAGTATTGAGTTTTATTGGAATTAATTTATGACAGTTTTTGACACCTACTGAATCCCATGAATATTAGTTGCTTATTATTATTAATCATTACTCTTAAATAATTATATTCTGATTTTTTGCTGTCTCAAAAGCATGGGGTGGTGTACAGTAAGATTTTCTGGTAGTAAATGGAGTTCTAAGAGTAGAACTCAAAGCCTTCCCTGGCATATCTCCAAGTGGTCTTTCCTAGTAACACTGCCCTCTTCTCACCTGGCTAGGGAAGGTTATCTAGAACTTACATGGGGAAGGCAGGTCAAAAGACAGAGGCATTTTTTAAGAATTGACTATCAGAGCTCAGCCTACCCTCATTTGTCCTCCTTAGGGATTTCACTTATACAACTCTCAGCTGCAGATCTACGGGCTTTGGAGAAATGACTCAGAATTTCTTTTCGATCTGGTTAACTAATGGCATGTAGGACCATTCTGGTTGACCGCACTGGTATTAATACAACACCATGACAGCTTAGAGCTGATTTTGGCAACTGACGTTTGATAGTAAACAGTTTAGTTACCTGGAAGTAGGGTGATTACATTACCTGGAGCAAATAAAAGATTAGTCGTAGTTGCTTAAACGTGATGCAGACTACAATGAATGGAAGGCCAGTGTTTAACGGCACTTAAGCTTCTACTGGGTTATTTTGTTGAATTTTACATGAGGAAAGAGCAACCTGCTGGGACCACTGTCTTCAGTATTAAAAGATATCTATGTTTTGGCTTTCATAGAGGAAATAATTCCATTTTTTAGTATTTTTTAAATTGTGGTAAAATGCATATAAAATTTACTAAGTGTACAGTTCACTGGCACTTATTAACAATGTTGTACAACCATCATCACTGTCCATTTCTAAAAATATTTCACTATCTAAGCAGAAACTCTGTACTCATTAAACAACAACCTCCCAACCCCCTTCTTCCCTTAGCCCCTGGTAATCTCTACTCTACTCTGTCTCTATGCATTTGCCAATTCTAGATATCTCATGTAAGTGAAATCATACAATTATTTGTCCTTTTGTGTCTGGCTTATTTCACTTGGCATAATGTTTTCAAAGTTCATCCATGTTGTGGCATGTATCCGAATCGCATTCCTTTTACAGGTTGAATAATATTCCATTCCAATATGTACATAGCACATTTTCTTTATCTCTCCATCTGTAGATGAACATTTGAGTTGTTTCCACCTTTTGGTACTTGTGAATAATGCTGCTATAGAACACTGAAGTACAAGTATTTGTTTGAGTTCCTGCTTTCATCTCTTTTGGGCATAAACCTAGGAGTGCAACTGCTGGATCATATATTAAGTCAATGTTTAACTTGTTGAGGAACCACCAAATTATTTCTATTGCTGCAACATCATTTTACATTCCCATCAGCTATGCACAAGGTTTCTAATTTCTACACATCTTCACCAATACTTATTTTCTGTTTTTTTACATCAAAAAAACAGAGCCATTCTAATGGGTATATAAGGTAGAATCTCATCAGATTTGCTTTGTAAACTATTTATTAAAAATAAGACACACGAAGAGAAGTTATTATTATATGCTTCCCTTACCCTGTGTATCAAAAGCTGCAAACATCCTGTGCGAGTCCCAAAGTGAAAGGTAAAATATCGCTCTATTACATTTTAAACATAATAACACTAATAATTTCTCCAAATAAGGTAATCTTGAGTTTTGGGATTGCATTTAAAAGTCCTAGAGCAAATGCTCAGGGCATAAACATATCCATTAGTCATTACAGAAGTCCATACGAGGCTGACACACGTAGAATACCATTATTAGCAAAACTAAACTCAGTACACTTACAACTGCCTCAAACTTGACTCCAAAGTATGGAAAGCTCCTCGGAGAGCGGGCCAGCCGCAGTGCGCATGCGCACTTCCCGGCGTGCCCCCGCCCGTGCCTGCGTATTTGCGTGCGCGGCCCCGCGCTGCAACGCTGGGGCGGAGCCGTATGACTGGCAGTGGTATCAGCTATGGCGGCTGCGTCGGGGTCAGTTCTGCAGCGCTGTATCGTGTCGCCGGCTGGGAGGCATAGCGCCTCTCTGATCTTCCTACATGGCTCAGGTGGATTCAGTTTTACGTCCTGGTTTTCTATAGCTCGGGAAACAACTTCCCCTCGGTTACCCCAGTATTGCCCAAGTGGAGGTGTCGCCGGGCCCAAATAGGGCTCAGTGGGTGGCCCCCCCGTCGCCAACCCCTACTGTGGATGCACGGGCAGCGCCACCTGCCCCCAGCCGCTCTCCTTAATCTTCCTCTTTCTATCGGGTGGTCACTGGCCCACCACCCTCGCTTTGGGGCCTTGTGTCCCGCCGCTCAGCCGGCTCTCCATCCACACAACATTCTCTCCAGTGCAACCTTTACCACCTCCCCATTCCTCGCCCCAGGTTTAAACAGAGCAAGTTAGTAAGGTAAGTCTGATGTTAGAGGGAAATTATTTAGTGTTTTTCATGATCAACTACTAGAGATTTTTCAGTCGTAATTGCCCATTGCTTTCTCCAGGCTCCCATACTAATGTAGACAATTGAGATTCACAGTTAATCTTAGATACTGTTTACAGAGTATCTCTTTTCTGTAACCCACCGTGCCATGGTTGGAGTGTTTTCTCTCCCTTGCCTTTTTCCTGCTTCTCTTTCCTTCCTTCCCCTTTCCCGCCTGTGTCATTAAACTTCCAAGATAGACTACAGGGGTAGGAGCCCCAGGGGCAGGTTATCTTCCACTGCTTACCCTTAGTAACGTGTACTTAATGCTGTATCGTTTCTTAACACTCATCTGTAATCACTTTTGTCAGTCTTCACTGGATTGTGAGAGTAAGGGCCCTTGTGTCAATCTTTGCACCCCCAGTGCTTGGCCCAGGGTAAGCTCTCAGGAAATGTTTTTTAAAGAAATGAGATGCAGCCGGTGTCCTCAGGGGGCCTACCTAAAGTTAAAAACAAAAACAATCCAATTAGTTTGAGTCAGCAGTGCATGGAAGATCACAAGACGGTGCGTGGTTTCCTGCCAAGTGAATTGTAAGAGAAAAAAATGTGGTTAGGCATTATTAAGGCATTTGGAAGATGAAAAGCTTGTCAGACTTTTCGAAGAAAGTGGTCTTTGAGCCGAGACGGATAGGCTTAAAAGGGACTGTGATTGGAAGGGAATTGGAAAGGTACTGGGCAGAGACCTGGAAAAGGGCAATTGTGGGACGTATTCTCTTTATTTTGAAAATGAGGCCAGACAGGTTCAGCAGCTTGGCCAAGGTCTCTTAGCTGTTACTGTGAGTAGTGGCGGATTTGGGATTAGAACCCAAAGCTCTCCGACCTCAAACTCAGGGCTTTGGTGGGGTAAGGTGAAAAAGCTTGAACTAGGATGTATTGTTTTGGAGATAGGGAAGAAGAGGGCCATTAGTGTTTAAAGGGAAAGACTTGACATATATTTAGAAGGTGAAGTGTGCAAGATGACAGCGGTACTTAATAACTAGGAGACTGGTGGTACTATTCAGGGCTCCAAGAGTGTTCATTTATAAGTACCCAGAAATTCCCCAACACTGTACCCTTTCTCATAATCAATTCTCATTATATTTAGGAAGAACTCCTAGACTATGTTCTTTTTTCCCCTGGACCTCTTTGCTAAAAGTAACTATCCTTTTTTTAAAATTTCAGATTACATTTTTATAACCTGTAATGATATGTCTCTAAAATTCAGAGTCATGTATGTATGTATTTTTTCCTTTGCACTTTGAACCAAGAATTTATGCAAAGAATTCTGCCAAGTATGCGAGTATAATGTGATTCCTATATGTTTAAATATCCAATGAAGTAAATAAAACCTTATTGGGAGTAGGTCTTTATCATCTTTATCATTAGGAGTAGGTCTTTATCGTCCAGTAGGTCTTTAGCAGCTAGTGATTTTACATTAAACTTTAATATATGCAGTTATGTTATAGGAGATGTTTGGTTTCTGCTTAATTAGAATATGGGCAAAGCAATTCTAACAGTTTAATCACACTCAGTTTTACCATACTGTTAACCAGTTTTAACAGTTTTACTATGGAATAAGGTACTAGCTTTTTAAAAAGTGGACATTATGAATGCATAGATGTTGTTTTGCAGCTTCATTCTTACTCTTCAAGGCTGAAAAAATGTTATTAAAGACGTATTTTGTTTTTTCAAATAAAAAACCTTAAAAGCTTGAGATTTTCTTCTAGGAGATAGCAGCCATAGAAGAACATATGGGAGTGTAAATTACATATAGCCAACTTAATTTGAACCTTTTCTATTAATAAAGTACTAAAGACGGACCTTCTTTTAAGATGATAAAAATAAATGATAGGTTAATTAGTTTTGTTCAGTCTCTCAGATCAGATTAATTCACTCTTATTTGCTCCCATAGGACACTGGTTCTTCTTTCAGTAGTAGTCATCATACTTGTAATTATGTAACGTAATGTCTGTATTCCACACTAACCTATTAGGTCCACAAAGCCCAAACCATGTGTCTTGTTTATGGCTTTCTTCTTGTGTAGTAAGGCACAGCAAGTTGACTAAGTAGCTTCTTGGTAAAGTCACCAGTAAGCTCAAGCTCTGTGTCGCTCAATGTAATGGACATTTTCAGTCTTCCTCTTATGTGAACTGTCATCCACATTCAGCTTTCTTCTCAAAAAACTCTCCTGGTTCTTTTTCTATCTTGATTTGCTCCTTCTGGTTTCTTTTGTAGACTCATCCTCCTCTACCTGACCATTAATAATGGGGTTTCTCTAAATTTGGTTCAAGGTCTTTTCACTCTACATTTTTCTCCCTAGGCTAATCACAGAAGTCTCCTAGAGATACCCATTTGTGTCGCCGGTGTATAGGTAACAACAGAATGTTTGAATTTCTATGGAGATTCATAGATTCTATTTTTGAGCTCTAGACAAGTTTATCTAACTGTCTGATACATTCATTCATGAATCCATTCATTCAAGAAATGTATCACAGCCTCCATGAGTAAGGCACTGTTCTGTGCTCTGATCATATAGCAATGAACAAAACAAATCACTGCTCTCATGGAGCTTATGTTCTAATGAAATAAATAAATACTATAGTAGAAGGTAGTCAGTTTTATGGAAGCAAAGAAAGCAGGATAAGGGAATGCTTCCTTAGATGAGGAGTTGGAACAGTGTTACAATTTTAAATAAAGTAGTCAGGATATGCCTCACTGCAAAGATGACAGAAGATAAAACTTTACAGCTAGACTTAGGTGATGAGAATAATGTAGATTGGGTTAGACTGTTTAGACAAAGGAAAAGCCAAGTTGGAGGTCGCAGGGTAGGTTCCTTGACATGTTCAAGGAACAGCAGTAAGGCTAGTGTGCCTGGAGTGAGAAGAATAGGAAGGGATATCCAAGAGGGTACTGGCATCCAGGTAGTATAGGGCAGGGGTTGGCAAACTTTCAGTAAAAAGTCAGGTAAGCATTTTAGCTTTTGTGGGCCATGTAAGGTCTCTTCCCCATATTTTTCCCTTCTCTTTAAGAAAGGACTTTTTAATAATGTGAAACTCATTCTTAGCTTATCCTCCTTAAGGACCCTAGGTTGGATTTTGTCCTCCCCTTTACCTGTCCATAGTTGCTCAATCAACCCATGGTATTAGACCTTGTATGCATTACAAAGAGGCACCTCACACTCAACCTGTGTATGCCTGTTGCTTATGTTTCCTGCCTAGGCAGGTGTCTAGCATTGTTGTTCACCCAGTTACTCTGGTCAAAAGCCTGTTAGTCATCCATGAAATCTTTCACTATTGACCCTTCATAACAAATCCATTGCCAATCTCTATTAATTTTACCACCTAAATTTCTTTAATATCTGTTTCTATCTATATCATCACCCTAGTCTAAGCATGAACAATAGTTTCCTAACTGATCTCTGTACATCTACTTTTGCTCTCTTTCAATTCTGTCTTGACACATTTTCCAGATTGATCCTTTAGAATCATGCCAACCTTTCTGTCAGAAATATTCGTGGCTTCTCCATGAACAGGTTCCTACAGTTTCTCTGGTCTCATTTTATAGACACTGCTCTTCTTTTCATTCTCTGCTTTTCAGTTCTTACATGTCTTACTGCTCCCTCTTGTCCAGAATCTTGGCACCTGCCCTTTCCTTGGCCTGGGATACTTTTTGCTTCTGCCCTGCACTTCTCACCGTCTTGTAGACTTTAGTTCAAACCATTCAGCAACTATCTTTGGATACCCAGTTTTTGTCAGTCCTGTTCTAGGCACTATGTGAACAAATAACTCAGATAAAATACATAATAAACTTTGTCTTGCATAGTTTATAGGCTAGTGCATTTATTCTTGAACTCCATAAGCCAGTCAATTCTGAATATAATAAATCCTTGCAGCAGCAAGTGTCTCATCTTTGAAGCAATTACATTTGCCTTTCACATTTATTTGTGTGATTTTTTGACTTAATTTCTGTTTTTCACAATATGCTACAGACTCCATAAGAATATGGACTCTATTACTCCCTTACCCCGCCATCATTGCCTCTCTAGCGGTGAACACAGTGTTTGACATATTAATAGGGATTCAATAGACAGTTTTTGAACTGACACCTTAATGAGTTAATTGATGAAAAAATTAAAGTTGTGACCTCTTAATTTCCTCCTCAGGACTCCATAAGATGGACTTCTATTTCCTTCCATTTTTTGTGTAAATACATACATATTAATATTTGTATGATTTTTTATTACTTCTCAGCTTTGGAGTAGATAATCATTCTTTTGGATCATGTAAACATGTTGTCAAAATTAAATTATGATTTCTTCAAGTTAAAATTACATTGAGTATACCTTTTGGACTTTTTTTTAACCAAGAAAATTATATTAGGTTCTTCTAACTACAGAAGTTTAACAATCACTTTAGGAATTTATTACTATTAAGAATAAGATAAATGACTTAAAAATCACATATAAATACAGAAATAATTTTTTTTTAGAAAAATCAATTTATTTATTCCTGTAATACCCACTAAACAATTAGGAAACTTAAAACTTAAGCTTAAACAAGATCTTCAGAGTAATCAATGGTGAAGCCAGGAGTAAAATAATCAAAATTATTGCTAGTTACTGAGACCTGGTTAGTTAATTCATATTAATAAGTCAGTTTCGATACAGTTATTATTATGTATATAGGTTTTTTAAATCCCTTATTCCATGCTCTGTGTGACATAAAAGTTTTAGACTGCTTTGAAATGCATTGTATTACTAAAATATTTATTTTAATCTTGATTTTGTGATTCATCAGGTGATTCTGGACCAAGATTAAGAATGTGGATCAAGCAGGTTTTAAATCAAGATTTAACATTCCAACACATAAAAATTATTTATCCAACAGCTCCTCCCAGGTATGTAGTAATTTATCTCACTTGTCAATATAACTCTGTGGCATAAAATATATGTAAAGAGATGTGCCAGCTAGGAGTTCTTTAAGCTTGATTTTGTATTTAAGATACTTTAAATTAGAGTACTTTGTCCCCAGAATGTATCCTTTATTGCAGTGACACTGTTGGACCAAGTTTTGTCAGGTGAGTAATTTATTCCCTCTCTGTAAAGCATTCCCTAAAGCTCTGAATTTAAACTGTGTCCCAAGCATGGCTTATGTAACTCTGCTTCCTCTTGCCCTGCAGATTGCTCAACTTTCATACTTTCTTCTTCCCTACATTCACCCCAAAAGGAAACTTAATAACTCCAACAAGTATAATCTTTCTAATAATTTAGTTAAGCCAGAGTTCATAATCTCTGGAAAAGGGTTTTATGGCATTCTTTCCACATTTAAAAGGATTATTAAGAAACAATGTTATGCTTTTTTAATCAGTAAACCAGAATAGGAAGATGGAATTGACTACTTAATAAATATTTAGGTTATATAACCTGTAGGTGTGTGCAACAAAATTCACAGTAATAAAACTGCTATAGTTTTGAGGTCAAACTGCTCTTTGTAAACATTAAATTAACATCTGCATAGTCTTTTATTCGGAACACATTCTGTAAATCAAGTATTGGGGATTTTTTTTGGTTAAGTGAAATGATGTGTGGAGCTACACCCCAATCTGATTTCTCATAATCTGTTCTTGATTTTTTTTTTCTTTTTTTTTTTTTCTGAGACAGAGTCTCACTCTGTTGCCCAGGCTGGAGTGCAGTGGTACAGTCTTGGCCCACTGCAGCCTTTGCCTCTCGAATTCAAAGGATTCTCCTGCCTCAGCCTCCCGAGTAGCTGAGAATACAGGCGTGTGACACCACGCCCAGCTAATTTTAAAGACAAGGTTTTGCCATATTGGCTAGGCTGGTCTGGAACTCTTGACCTGAGGTGATCCACTCACCTCAGCCTCCCAAAAAGTGCTGGTATAACAGGCATGAGCCACTGCGCCCAGCCTGTTCTTGATTTTTTCTTATCAGGCATACTATGCAAATGCCTTGCTTTATATTTCCGTTAACTTAGTATTAAAGAGAAATAAAACCAGAACTTCAAGGACATTTTTATATGTACTAATAAGAATTTACTTACTTTAATTGATAGAATTGAAAAAGGGAGAACAAAATGATAATGTAAGACTGAAGACTCAAAGGAGTTATTATTTAAATGTAATTTTAGTAGAATTCAAAAGTTTGGTAGTGTAGTTGAAAGACCCAGTCACCAGTGGTTATTTTTGTGCTCTAAATTGCATGTCTTTGAAAATGTCAAAAGAGCTTGTTGTTACTGATTTTTAGGGTAGTTGAGTTGGAAGGAAGAAACATAGTGGTATTTCTGCAGGGAGGAAAGAAGTTCATGTCTGCCTAAATATAAATACAATTGTCTGATTAATCATAAGACCATTGAAAACCTTATTCTAGGAATTAATGTTTTTTATCTTAAGAATTTCATGTCATTACCAATTGTGATAGGAATTCTAGACAGTATTTCTCAAACTTTAGGCCAGAGATATTTCAGAAAATCCAGAAATCTCCATGTGCACTAAGCATTATTTGTGGTTGCTGTTGTGATTTAGTAAAATATGAAATCATTGGACTAGCCAGCTTCATAGTAACTTTTTGTGATACAGTTTTATAATCAGTAGCTATTTGGACAGATCATCAAACATTTTAGACCATATTCACCAACGGAAGTGTAATATGAGCTACAAATAAATTAAAATTTTCTTGATACCACATTATAAAAAGGAAGAAATATGTAAAATTTTAATAATATATTTTATTTAACCCAGTATATTCAAAATATTCAACATGTAATTGGTATAAAATTGTTAAAGTGATATTTTATATTTTCACACTAAATTTTCAAAAAGTGACATGTGTTTTACATGTACTACGTATCTTACTTCTGATGCTAGCTAATTACACTTAAGTTAAATAATAGTAAAAAATTAAGTTCCTCAAGTTGCACTGGCTACATTTACGTGCTTCATAACCTTATGTGGTGGGGTCTGCTGTTTTCTACAGCTCAGTTTTAGACCTTAAAGAGGAGTTCCCATATACAATATATTCGGAGCCACTGTTCTAGATTAAGTCATCACTTTTACTTATGCATACAATACTTATTGGTTTGCTCAAGTTTTCAGTTATTAGTAGCGAAACATAGAAGATTTCCAACACATTACTTTAAATATTAAATTATTTAATTGCAATAGAAAATGAAGCTGGCATAAAGAAATTTCAGAACAAACATAGTTGACTCTTGGTAAGCATAAAAAGCATAAGGCTCAATTTGTGGGAGTGAAAGTGTGAGGGTGTGCAAGAATGAAGCCTCTTGATCTGGACCATTTGGTCTTCCATGAGCATTAGCTATAGGAACACATGGATTTGGTTAATACTGTAAGGCAGTTCAATGGAGGTCAGTTAAGAGAGATAATATCATACTTAGTATATTACAATTGGCTGATTTTTTCCTACCTTGTGCTAGACTAATTTTCTAGAGCAGTTTATATGATACTTACTTCTGTATTCCTACAGACACTAAAGGATACAGTATCTCTAAGCACTTAGCATAGAACCTGACAAATAGATGTTTAGTGAATATCAAATAAATATCTTATAATATTTGCTTGTTATAATTTAAAATAGTGTAATAAGAATGAATAATTGCAGGTATTTATATATAATACTAATATTTTAATTGTATAATAGTTTATGCCTATGTGAGGTTTTAAAAAGCATATTTTGTTGTGGTAAATAATCTAAGAATTGTTGTTCATAAGGGGTTGCAGTTACTTGTCCTAGGGCATGACCCAGTAATAGATTAATTGAGTGAGCACAAGATTATGGGCCACTTTTAACTAATGAGTCTCAAATTGAGGAGCGCTGTGGTGTCATTAAGTCTACAGCTTTTAATTGGTTTCCACACTTCAGAATGCTGTTTGATAGTATTTTATTAGAATGCTCTGGCATTCATGGTGTACTTTGCTGTTTTAAGACTTCTGACTGATGTTCCTAACACATGACCCTGTTTAGGCAAGCAGTTTGGGCATAGATTTATTGTCCTTGCTTTTGTAGCATAATATGGCTTCATTTGGGGTTGTAAGGATAGTTGCTACCTTCCATCTATTATGGCAGTTTTTCTTGTGCTGCTAATAAGAGAGACTCTGGTGTCATCTACCTTGCTTGCTGCCTTTCCGGTGACATCTAAAGGAGGCATGTGATAGATACGTGCCTTCCTTAACTCATTCTTTTTAATGTGATTGGTTCAGGATAAAAATGAATTTTTACAACCTTTTCAAAAATTTATCAAGATTTCATGCTTTAACATTTTGCTACATCTTTCCAATATTGTCCACATTTCTGGTATTTATTCTCTCTCCTGTTTTTTTTCTTTTACCACTTGTATACCCGTAAGTTTTTCTCTACTACAGATATTTCATGGATTATGTTATTCCTATAGGGCATACTGAAGATATTACTTGGCTTGTAAAATCATTCAATTGATGGCATGTAAATGATATTCAGGGTTTACCTGCCTGTTAGTTGGCCAGTTTTGTCCTAGAATGTATCTAGTCTCCCGTTACATGGAAATGATGCTTACTATTATGTGGCTTTACCCAAGCCAGTATTTATAGAAATGAGTGACAATGAAACGTATAAAAGCAGGTTAAGCTTTATTAACTTTGGTACACAATGCCAAACCTATTTCCAGAGAGAATGTAACAGTTGACAGCCTCGCCAGCAGTATTCAATATTCCCATTTATCTCACATCTTCCTGAACACTTTCCATTGTCTTTTTAATTTTAGCCAAACCAGTAGATGTGTAATGGTATCTTATTGTGCTTTTAATTAATATTTCTTTAATGCTAATGATGTTCCACACTGTTTCATATGCTTATTGAGCATTTAAATATCCTCAAAAGAAATGGCCACTCAGATTATTTGCCCATTCTTTTTATTTGTTCATCTTTTTCTATTGATTTGTTGGAGCTCTATAGTTTTTTGGCTACAGTTTATTATTGTTGTTGGATATATGAATACAAATACCTTCTCTTTGTGGTTTGCATTTTCACATTCTTAATGACATCTTGTGGACATAAGTTCTAACATGTTTCTTTAAAATTACAGTGAAATACAAAAATTGTATGTGCATAGTTAATTTTGATAAATTATAGTACAGAGAATTTTGGTAAACTTTATGCACCTATTTACCTCAATTAAGTTGGAGAATATTCTCATCACTGCAGAAAGTTTCCTCGTGCTTCTTTCAAGTTAATTCCCATCTCATGTATTATTGTTTGGATATCTATTACTATAATATAGTTTGGCTTGTTCTTGAATTTCAGTTAAATTGAGTCATTTAGTGAAATGATTTAATGTAATCTTGTGTCTGGCTTCTTTTATTCAACTTGGTATTTTTGGGGTTCATCTATATGTGTGATGTGTGTATCAATAGTTCAATTTTAAAACTTCTAAGTAGGTATTGTATAAATATACCACAATTTGTTTATTTATCTACTGTTGTTGCACGTTTGGAGAGCTAATAAATAATGCTACCGTAAATATTCTTGTTACAAGTCTTTTTGTGAGCATAATTTGAATTCTTATCTAGACTCTATTCCATTGGTCTGTTGGTCTAATCTTATAGTAGTATAAAATTGTTTTAATTATCACAGCTGTATAGAAAATTTTGAAACCAAGTGGTGTAAGTTTTGCCCATTCTATGTTACTTGCATTTACGTGTAAATTTTAGAACCCACTCTTCAGTTTTACAAAACACCTGTTTGGATTTTGATTGAAATTGCATGGAATCTAGTTTGATTTAGAGAAAATAGATGCCTTCTAATACATACACATGGTATGTCTCACCATTTATTTAGGTCTTTATTAATTTCTCTCAGAAGTGATTTGGAGTTTTTAGTGTAGCAGTCTTTTGCTAAATTTGTTTACAAGTATTTTGTTTCCTCATGTTATTGTAAATGGAATTTTAAAAAATTTAATTTTTAAATTGTTGCTAGTACAGAGAAATAAATTTACTCTTTTATTTTGTCCTGTGTCCTGCTATCTTTCTAAATTCACTTATTTCTAGTACTTATTTAGTATATTCCTTAT